ACGGTCTAAATCCTGACTGGAAATCCTCACAGATACCATTTTTCTCTAAGAAGGAATATAATTGTGAGGATACTATCTTCTATATCAATATCTTGGACAGAAAAGGTAGATTCGAGATCGGTCTGTAATTAACTAGTTCTTCGGGGTCAAGTTGTGTGTGTTTTTTTTTAATGAGGCTTAATAACAGCCAGTTTGAAGGTTTTTGGGACATATCCTAAAGACATTGATGAATTAATTATATTCAGAAGAGGATCTATGACTTCTGGAAGCAACTCTTTTAGTAGCTTAGATGGTATTGGATCTAACATACATGTTGTTGATTTGACAAGTTTATACAATTCTTCCTGTCCTATAGCAGAGAATGAGTGGAATTGTTCCTCAGGGGATCTATAGTGCACTGTCTGATGCGACACTGTAGCTGATGGCTGCATGGTTAGAATTTTATCTCTAATAGTATCGATCATGGAAGTAAAGACGTTCATAAAGACATTACTGCTGTGCTGTTTGGAAATGTCTGCGCCTGTTGATGCTTTATTTTTCGTTAATTTAGACACTGTATTGAATAAATCCCTTGGGTTGTGTTTGTTTTTTTTCTAAAAGAGATGAAAAGTAAGCAGATCTAACAGTTTTTAGAGCTTTTCTATAAGTAGAAGTACTTTCCCTCCATGCAGTACGAAATACCTCTAGTTTTGTTTCTTCCAGCTGCTCTTCTTTTTCCGACCTCGTTGTGTGCTCGTTATACCACGGTCTCAGTCTGTTTTCCTTAATCTTCTTTGTGTAAAGAAGCAACCATATCCAAAGTGTTAGAAAAGAGAGAGTCCATAGTTTCTGTTACAACATCAAGTTTTTCTGAGCTATTGGATTTGCTGAGGAATTGAGACAAGTCAGGATGAATATTTACAAAGCAGAAGTGATGGTTCTACCATATTTGTAACAAGGAGTTGAGTTTGCAGCTTTAGCTATATGGAGTATATACGAGACTAGATAATGATCCGAGATATCATCATTCTGCTGCAGAATTTCAATGCAATTAACATCAATTCCATGTGACATTATTAAATCTAAAGTATGAGTACGACAATGAGTAGGTCCTGACACGTGTTGTCTGACCCCAGTAGAGTTCAGAAAATCAGCAAATTCTTTGATAAATGCTGATCCATGCATCTTTTTCATTATCAAAACATGGATAATAAAATCACCAACAATTAAGACTTTATCTGCTGCCAGCACTAACTCAGTTAGAAAATCAGCAAATTCTTTGATAAAGTCTGTATGGTGGCCTGTAGCCAGTACAAACTAGGGGTGCAACTGTTCTCGGTAAAAAATCTAACCGTACCGTTCTCCACACATGGTTCGACATACACTAGGACCGCGGTTCAACTTAAATCTGACAATGCATCTGTAATATGGTTTGTTAGAGTTTGGCTAATGCATGTTTCTGTTGATGGATACAAATTCTGGCTTCCCAATACATTACAACAAGAGCGATGAGAGAGAAAAAAAACAATACGTAGACAAACCAGTCACTCTTTAATCAATGCGAGTGCTGTATGCTGGAATAACTGTCATTTATGCCGTCATCACGTGTTGATAGCGCAGGTGAGACCTGAACAGCACACGTTGCTATCTGTGTTTAAACTAAACTCATTTAAGCCTTGCCAGTTTAAA